TCAGCTTCCTATCTTAAAAATTGGAGGAGATAGAACCGATTAAGTGTAGGTATGTTTTTTTCAAAAATTTTGAAAAAGTCAAAATATTTCAAAAATGATTGAGTTTAAGGATAAAGTAAGGTTATGAGACTCACCTTAAAATTCGATGTAAAATCCAAAAATTAAATAAAAAATAGTACATTCCATTTGAAATAAGCGAGTTGACGTCTACTTCCGGTAGAACCGGAAGTTCCACGACGACGCCAATATTTTCAATCGATAGAACATTAGGAGAAACCCCCGTACATAAATTTTCAGACTTACAGTACGCGTAGTTTTCCAGAAACGTCTAATTGAAGGTCTATCTGGAACACCCTGTATTTTGTTCATATTCGAATAAAGCTTTTTCTTACGAATACATTGTTATAAGGTTTGATGGGTTTATTTCAAATAACAAGCGGGATTTTGAGAGAAAATTACATTACAATTACTTAAAAAAATTATTTAACGTAATTTTTCATAAAAGAAATTGTACTTACTTGGAAACGAAACAAATGCAAATAATTAACGAAATTTAACGTAAATCTTCAAATTGTCTTCCACCAACAATTTGGCACTGTCCCGCGCGAGAGTAAACACTTTGTACACTACGCTTAATAATTTCTGTGCTGATTCTTTCCATTTCAGCATGAATTCTCAGTTGTAAGTCTGCTAAATTGTTTGGTTGATTCAAGTATACCCTAGATTTTAGATAACCCCATAGAAGAAAATCCATAGGAGTCCAGTCGGGGGAATGAGGGGGCCACTTAAGAGATCCTCTTCGCTCTATCCATCTTTCAGGAAATGTATCATCAAGATGTTGCCGAACTTCTCAGCCAAAGTGAGGTGGATCTCCATCTTGTTGAAACCAAATATTTTCATAGGGTATATCGCCGTCTGCAGCGTTGGGGAAAAGAACTGCTACAGCCGGCACCAACTCAAAACGCAGAAAATCTAAATATCAGAATTCTCCAAAAAAGTAAGGAACTAAAAATCTCCTTCCTATGATTCCCACACATATATTTAATTTGCCTTTACGCTGACTGTGGAATTCTTGCGCCTAATGGGGATTGTCAAATGACCAATATCTACAATTATGGGAATGTACTGAGCGATTTAAACAGAATGTGGTCTCGTTAGAAAAAAATATATTACTTAGAAAATTTGAATTTTCATCACACTGTAACAATAATTGTTCACAAAAGTATAACCGACGGTCTGGGTCATCCTCATTTAATTCGTGTATCAGCCGGACTTTATATCTATGATACTTTTCTGGACGAAGCAACTTTACAACATATGATTGGTCTACATTGTTGTTTAGGGCTAGTTGTCTTGTTGACTGATTTCTTCAGCGATTTAAGGTCGTCCTTGTCGTATCCTATCTCTTACTCTTACACACTCAGTCTCTGTAATCTTGGTGACCAATTTACTCACCGTAGATCGTGCAATTGGTGGTCTGACACCACGTGTTTGATTAAATAGCTCACATGCTTCCGCATGGGTTCGTAGCTTATCACCATACCCAACCATCATTAAGATCTCTATACTTTCACGTTGAGTTAAATGTGCCATTCCTTCTAAGCTCCAAAAAATTCAGTCATAAATTTGCGAAATTTATTAAGGTTATATTAACGTACTAATTTGTGAAAATGTTACGCAACAGTGGTCTTTTTGTTTCTAAGCAACGACCAAAAACCGAAATTTAATAATTTTTATAAGTGACCTGAGTGCCAACAAAAAGAACCCTAATTTTTATTGCTAAACTCGCAAACTTTGTTCGTTTTTATTTTTCGTTAATTATTATTTACATTTGTTTCGTTTCTAAGTACAATTTCTTTTATGAAAAATGACATTAAATAATTTTTTTAAATAAATGTCATTTCCCCGCAATATCTCGCTTGTTATTTGAGATAGACCCATCAAACCTTACATCACTGTATTCGTAAGAGAAAGCTTTATCCGAATATGAATAAATATACAGGGTGTTCCATTAACAATAATCATATTTTAACTTTTAAGAATTGTATATTAAGCTACATCCCATTCTCAACGAAATACTTGTGTTACTTCTTTTCAGGCCGTCGATTGGGAGGTCGAACTGGTAGTCGTCATAGGCAAAAAGGCTCAGAACGTGAGGGCGGAGAACGCCTTGGACTACGTCTTCGGATACACCGCCACCCAAGATCTAACAGCAAAAGACTGGATAACAAGGAATGGGGGGCAGATGCTGCTCTGCAAGAACATGGACAACTTCTGCCCTTTGGGACCGTGCGTCATCACGAAGGACGAGATTCCTGACCCCCACAACATCCGCGTGAAGACCTGGGTGAATGGGGTGCTGAAGCAGGACGGCAACACTGTGGAGATGGTGCACAGGATTCATAGGATTATAGAATATCTGTCTAGGTAAGTATTTTTTTGTGTTGGCAAATTTCTTAATAAAAAGGCCTTCAACCCTCTGTACTTTGAAAGTAAAAGATGACGAATCCGTGGTAGGATTGTCATCTTTTATAATAAATATTAAAAAATTAAATTGAATATAAAAAATATCAATATCATCAAAAAACAAAAGTTGGCCTTTAAATAACATTGGACATGGGCTAACTTCCTCAAACGGACACTGAATTCAAATTCAGTAACCTCAAAAACATTCCATCGCTTATTTCCAATTTTTCCAATATTTTGCTTTGAAAATAAAAGAAAAACAGTTTTTTCCCGATTTTTCCGAATAGTTAATCTCTATTAGTGAAAGAAATATCTTATTCCCTTTTTTGAAAATATTTCCTCATCCACGAATTTTTTATTAATATTGGTTGAATTTTTTAATTACTCACAGTGTTGCCCAGGTCAGTTGGAACATTTTCAGTAGAGACGTGTCGAAAATTCAGTAGAAATCAGTAGACAAAAATTCCTTACGTTTTGTGTCTTACATATTCACAGAGGCAAAATCACACCAGTGGCGTATCTTACTGTAATCGAACAACTTTATTGTAATGAAAATATATTTATTTCAAAAATTAACAAATAAAAAGTTATTTTCTCAAAACAAATACTTATAAAATATATTGAATATGAGAACTATTAACAAAAAATATACAGTTTTATACAGAAAGAAAAAATATATAATATGTATAATATAAAAAAAATAAATACTGCCCCTTTTTTATTCAGAATCTGAAAGTTCACTATTTTGTTGTTTATACATATTGTTATTAAGCAAATCTAAAACATTTTTGGTAAAATCGACATTGAAACAATTTTCCTTTCGTATTTTAAGAAAATTTTTGGTATGCAAACGGCTTATAATACTGGCAGTAGAGAGTTTGTTGCGGCGATCCGTTTTGGGTTTTAGTAGATTAACTTCTGAGAAAATTCCACATCGGCGGATGAATGTGATAAAACAAGCCTATTTTATTCCAACACTCTTCAGCAGACATATCAGCACTCATGTCACTATTTGTGTTTCTAAGAAGTCTCCACTCATTGTCCGGCTTCTGTAAGTCATTTTCTGAATATTAGATTTGGAAATTGAGCAGCTAATGGAACTATATCAAATATACTGTCACTTTTTCTTTTAAGGACAGTGAAATCAGTAGATCTACTGAAAAATCAGTAGACCTGGCAACACTGATTACTCATTCAATTCAATTCAATTCAGTTTGCTGAAAAATTACTGTGAACCTGAGAGCGTCATCTGGTCTACAGTGTCTTAATACGTACTGCATCATCTACTATTCGCTATATGAAACACAACGCGCCATCTATCGTTAAGTATACATTTCAAATTTTTCCAACTCTTTTCTTTGTAAACCCTTCAAACATTCAGAAAAACAACCGNAATACTGCCCCTTTTTTATTCAGAATCTGAAAGTTCATTATTTTGTTGTTTATACATATTGTTATTAAGCAAATCTAAAACATTTTTGGTAAAATCGACATTGAAACAACTTTCCTTTCGTATTTTAAGAACATTTTTGGTATGCAAACGGCCTATAATACTGGCAGTAGAGAGTTTGTTGCGGCGATCCGTTTTGGGTTTTAGTAGATTAACTTCTGAGAAAATTCCACATTGGCGGATGAATGTGATAAAATAAGCATATTAAATAAAAAATTATATAAAACGGGGAACACTGGCATATCACCGTATTGAAGCTTTTTTATTTTATTCCAACACTCTTCAGCAGACACATCAGCATTCATGTCAACATTTGTGTTTCTCCAGTCATTGTCCAACTTATGTAACTCATTTTCTGCAATTAGATTTGGAAAATGGAAATTGAGCAGCTAATGGAACTATACTGTCACTTTTTCTTTAAGGACAGTGAAATCAGTAGTTCTACTGAAAAATCACTAGACCTGGCAACACTGATTACTCATTCAATTCTGAATAAAAACTATCCTTCAGTTTGCTGAAAAATTACTGAGAGTATGAGAGCGTCATCTGATCTATAGTGGCTTGTTAGGTACTGCATCATCTACTATTCGCTATATGAAACACAACGCGCCATCTATCGTTAAGTATAAATTTCAAATTTTTCCAATTCTTTTCTTTGTAAACCCTTCAAACATTCAGAAAAACAACCGCGAAACGTTTTAATGAAGCGAAATGATGTACTCTCTCGGCAAATCTGAAAATTACCAGTTTGCGGCATTAGCCCTCAATCGTTTCGGGTCGTGTGCGTGGTAGATTAGCCCCTCGATCGCCCTTTCCCAGAATTATTAATTAGTGTACCCAAATACATTACTCCCGACTTCACTTAAGAGGGTTTAAATCGATAACAGATGAATTAAATTTAATTCTGTCCTAACTGAAGATAACCATCTCATATAAGGGCTGAAATTAAAATCATACAGGGTGTTATTTAAGTTGAACCGTTCTTTTTAACCAGACACGAAATTAAAAAAAATATGAACATTTTTAAAAAGACTCAAAACTATACCTTTAGGGCAGTTTTGAAGTATTAAGGCCACACTGGAGTATAAGATGCGTCGACTTGCTGTGTAATATGTCTGATAGTAGTTGTGGATCTTTTTCAACATGCCTAGGTCGATTTTTCTGTAGATACTCTGTTTTGTGAGACTTTTGAACAACACAATTAAACCTATGAGCTGCGAAAGCAAAAAACACTCCGGCACACAATCGTGATGCTACGGCAGCATTTTGATGACACTCCCCGTATATATATATTAATTTATTCGTCACTACAGTACATATGGACCATTTCAAATACAAAAATTTAGGCAATTATTATATTTCAAATTGTTTTTCCGTCATTTTCGAGGTTTTGAAAAATGTTTGCAAAACCTTGATATAAAACGCAGTCTGTATTTTAGAGAATTCGCAATTTATAATAAAACTTATTGTTAATTATTTTATGTAACAATTTTATGAGGCTTAACCGGCTATAATCTTCACAAGAGCACCTACAATGTAATGGCTATAACTTTTGGTGTTTAGTTGCAAAGACACACCCTGTATATCATGTAATTTTATTTGTGCATACTTGTTTAGTACTTTTTATTATATTAAAAAACTTTATAAGATACAAGCAAAGTATATCCTCTTATCATATCAATTTTCAATTTATCAGATATGAAATTATGGAAAATTTAAAAATTCCTACATTATCTTCTTGATGATGTAAGTACAATTTTATCAGTAAAAATCAATAAGATTCCATGACGCCCCTGATCTATTCTCAACGGGGATTCTATTACTAAAAAATAAAACGTAATACCATCGTGTTTACAGAATAAGTATATTTAGATTTTGTGAATTTAGTTTCCAATAATTAAACTAGTTTGTTTTTGTAGATAACTAATCTTAAATTTCCTCATCATAGGTCAAACATAGAAGGAGATTCATTCCTTACAAAATATTTAGTTCTGTTCGAAAAATATTCCAACTATTATTAAAAATACAATCAAATGAGGTCAAGGATAATAACGCAGTTAATTTACCACCAGGGACGTAACCAGGGAAGGGGCAAGGGAAATAAAAATAATAAAATTTTTTCATTTTGTGTATTTTTATGACAATTTTTTTTTAGGGCGATGACGTTACTCCCAGGCGACATTATATGTACCGGCACGCCATCTGGTGTCGGAGCGACTCAATATCCCCCTCAGTATTTACAGAAAGGCGACCTGTTGGAGAGCGAAGTTGAAAAAATCGGCAGGATGGCAAATCGTATAGTTTGAGATAGACAACATAGCAAATAGTAAATTAATCAAGTCATTATTAGATAATATCATCAATTCTAGGAAATTGGAACAAGATTGTAGGGAAATAAGTGTTGTATTTTGTTATAGTTATCACAAGATGAGTTTAGAAGTTTTAAAAATATTTTTAACCTCACATTCGCCGCTTGTGTAAATATAACCTCACTAAAATACAGTTAATGACTGATTTTGCTAAAAAGTCATTCTGATTTTAAAATTTCTGAACTCGTTAGCTGTTTCCTATTATCTGTATAATAAATTGGATATGTTAGACTAATTGTAGGCTTCAGTAAATTTACTTTCTTCCATTTTCAAGACTAGTGTATTGTTATTGGTGAAATCCAAATGTTAAACCATTTATTTTTGTATCTATACCAAAGGCATTAAATATTGTTTTGTTGAACCTTATTTGATTCGATGTTTTACGTTCAGCCTCTTCATCCTAGATTTGATGCAGAAGAAGATTCAATAAGTCATTTCTCATTTTAAATTTTAACTATTTAGCTGCCTTTTTTAAGTTAGAAGACGTCTATTTCGGATAAATTTTAAAATGCGATCTGCAGACTCTTCTATGTATCAATAACATTAATTTACAAAAAAGTAGCTCTAGTAACTATTAGATGGTGCTAGTGGTTCTACGTATTTTAATATGACCCCATACACATATACAATAATTTACACAAATTTATGCAATGTTGAAGACAGTTTCAACTCGTTTAAACTTTGGAAAAGCATTCCAAGAATCTATGTTTATAAAAGAATTATTGTTCGACTCACCCACGACGCCCTGGTGGGGGTATTGGAACACTGTAGGATATCAGCCACCGTCTTGCCAGACATGAGTAGTATGGATAAGTCCACCACCCCTTGTAAGCCACGTTTGGGGGACTCTCCACGAACTTGGGGGACCTCAAGCCTGGGCTGGAGTCAGCGTCTTCGTACCTGAAAGAAACGGACACCTTTGATAACTACAAGACGTACGTACATGAAATTGCCTTACTACTCAAGAAGTCTGGTATACGGATGGCATTCACAGTAACAGTGACTCCTAATGAATTTTTGTCTTTAATTAATTCAAATGTACTTTTTTCTTTAACGTTAACGCCATGTATTACGAAAGTCCGTGAATTTAGAGCCTTGATTTACTAAGACTTTCAAATCTAAAATAATCTATTTTTAAAGTGTCCTATTGATTAACTGAGTTTTAAAGGCCATATGTTCAAATGCAGCATTTGTGGTTACTGAAAATTAAAGTGATCGTGTTTTACTAAATATAGATTTGTGTTTGTGTATCTTCATTGTCTCAAATTCCCAGGCGATATTATGAAAAAAATGTATACGTATCTAAAAAGAGTTGAAGTGGTTCGAGCCTATTGTTTGTCAGGACAAAATGATGCGGCTGCAAGAAAGCGATACCAAATGCATTATTTCGACGGACAAGTACTGAATAAAAAAGTATTTTAATATTTGTTGAACATTTAATAGATCATAGGAGCTTTGACCGCCAGTATGCTGATATTGGACGAGAACAAACTGAGTGAGTGAGAAACTTTGAACCAAAAATTTTAAACGCTGTGGAAGAAGATCCTGGTATGAGGACTAGAAGATTAGCTGTTATAACAAAATTTATATATTTATTTAAATTGAATGTATATGTTTATAAAATGTGATATGAAGTTTCGATATCCTAAACTCTTTTATTTTGTACCTATTTTACTTTGAACTTTAATGAAATAAGAAGAGAATTTCTTTTATACCTTTACCTTAATGTTTTCGTCAATGACTAATATGTACGGAAAAATGCTTGTTTTTTTACCATTTTCTTTTGGTCTAGATAAAAGTGAAACAAATTTTTTGCCTAATTTCTCTAATTTTGATTTTTTGTGTAAGTTACAATGTAATTGGTCGCAATTATAAACAAATTACAACAAATTAAAAATTTCAAGGGTTTCAAAATATGGAAAAAATAGTTTTTTCGTAGATATTGGGCGCCAATATCTTATGTACTGCATAATACTGTCAACTATAAGTACTTTAGAGAGAGGAAGAGTAACATACAAAATTTAAATAATCACTCTGTAACTATAGTCAAAACTTTGAAAGATAAATATGTATGGACTTATGGCCATTACTTTATTTAGACACATATCTCTTTAGTAGATTTTTACAAAAATACCTTCGGTACAAATATTCATTTAACTCATTACATAGAACAAAAGTTATAAATATAATTGGAATCAATTACATGTCAGTATTACACAATAAATATAAAAGCAACGAAAAGTGTCCAGTTGCAAACTGAATGCATATTGAACTGACCCTTGCACTATGTCCATCTAGCTCACTATCTCTATAAACTGGTGAACTGACTCAGTCATTGTTCCCGATTCTTCTACCGGCTGTTTAATTCTAATGCACTCAGCATTTTGTAAAGAATATTTAAACCCCGGAAACTTGGTGAATCGGGGCCAGTTCAGGGCCAGTCCGGGGCCCGTCCGGAGCCACTTTGAGAACCAGTCCACAGAGCACCAACCAGTCGATGGCCAGAAGCCAGTTCACCGTTTTTATCCTCCACATGAAAAGCTATCCCTCAGAGATGTAGGTACGTATTTTGTGTAATAAAATGTAAAAATGAATTGATTTGCCTCTCTGTTTTTACCCTTTTAGCAGAAAAGCGAGTAGCCCGAGAAAATAATATATTTTTTTTTACTAGTTGTTTTTAGTATTTTCAATAGACAATACATTACATTAGACAATACGTCTAAGTTAAATATAAACTTGTTCCATTTTAATACCAAAAGTACAAAAATTAACACTAAACCTATATAATTAGGTTGATTTCCTCCAACTTTTTTATTCTGTGTTCCTTCCCTCCAATTAGTTCTGTTAAGTTCTTCCAAATCCTTCATTATATTGTCTTTCTACTTTGTCTTTGGTCTTCTTTGCCTCTTTCTCCGTACCTCGCTTCCAAATATACATATTTTTTGGAACTCGTTTGCATTCTCATAACATATCCTAACCATCCTATGTCGCTTTATTTGGTTCAGGTTATTCTTGCAATTCCTTGTTATTTCTTCTTTCCCAACCGTCTTGAACCCTTTTACCTCTATATACATATCTTTCTATTTAAATATTCTTATTTCTCAAACATTTAATGTATTATTGTTTTATAAATTTTCAATTTAGTGTGCCTCGATATTTTCTTGTTATTCCTCAATTTACCTACATTGTTTTCCAATCATAATTCGTCTTTGTATTGTTTTTTTTGTATATTTGGTTTTCTGAAAATTCATTTCCCAAATAATAATTAAAACTATTTGCTGCTTCTTACCTGTGTATTGTATTCTTGCTCTCCTTGTAATTATTTTCAATGAATCATGAAGATTCAAATCATTCTTTTTCGGTCTGTGTCATATACTTCATTTTATTTTCATTAATTTCAAATCCCATTCCTTGCGCTGCTTCTTCTAATTTCAAAATACACATACTGTAATACATACTCCAAAGCACAATTAAGAAATAATGAAGGTAATTTATCTCCCTCTTGAACTGTATATGTCATTTTTATCTACTTAAGTAAGCTTCCATCTATTTCCAACTCTTTCAACGCCTTACATATTTTTTTATTCTTATTCACTCGTAAACTTGTTTGAAATCTATGAAAAGTGTATATTTTTCCTTTTTGTATGTGTGTGTGATAGAACTACTATTAATTTTTAGACTTTTAATTATTTCTTCCACTTCTCTCAAGGTCGGTGGTTATTCTACATCTTGATTGGTTTGATCTTGACGTTATCATCTTCATCATATAATCGTTACCTGTTAATGTATTAGTAACTCCCTAAAATGATCTTTCTTTAATTCCAAAATTTCTTCTTTCCTAATAATGTGTCCATCTTTATTTTTATAGAATATGGTCGTTGTCTGGTGTCCTACTTTTCCAATTTTTATTCCTTGTTAAAGATTTCTTATCTTTTCGGTTTCAAATTCATCTACAAGTCTTTCATTATATTTTCTTTTTTCCTTTCATGCGTTCCTTACATTTATTTTATACTTCTTGTGCGTCCAACACCTTAAAAATCCAAACATAAAATTGTCCCTTCCGCAAATGCCTGGACCAGTGCATTCCCAACCAAATATCGATCCCTTCCCACCAGCGTTCTGTATGTATCCCAAGACGCGTCCCGAACAGACATCTCTGTTCGCATTTACCCGACTGTAATTCGATGAAGCGCACCTTTATCGACTGTATATCGCGGGGCTTACTCGCCACGGCGATAAGCCATCGCGTTACATTGTTGTCGGATAATCTGAAATATTGTTATATTGGGGGAAGCCACCATCGGCACGTCTTGAGGGGGCTCAGCCGCAAGTCAAGCCGTGTCGCTCCAAGCTGCTGTTTGGGATTGCTGTAATGCGCATCGGAATTTATTTTTGGAGCGTTTTCAGACGATGTGTCGATAAAGTCGGATGTTTCCAAAACACAGGAAAACATTGGAACTATAGACAGCTGTATTACATGTACGGAAAATATGATATAGAGTGCGTCCAATTAGTGGCTTCGTCTCCTATCATAGCTTTACATTTGTAGACTAGGGCGGATCTGTCGAAATATCCAACTACTTGGATGTAAGAGGGGGGCAAGCTGATTTTTGCTGGAATACTTTCAGTACAACTCACATAATAAATGTGTAGATCCCTAAATCTGGGCGAGGTCCGGAACATTTTCAAAATTGCAAAAATGTTAAAAAATTTTTAAAAAATAACGAGCGTTCAAATAAAAACGTGGTCGAAGTTGGCTCTGACACATTGGACGTAAGGAGTAGCTTATAGCGACCAACTTAACCTCATTTCTCAACGAGCTGTATAGCAGCTGTCAGTTTCAATAACGTTAATGACTATATAACTTTACTTTTAAGAATAATCGTGATAACAATAACAAACAATTAAAGGAGCTGCGGAAAGTGTCCCCCTCCTTGTTATAACAATAAATTAAAGCAGCTGCTGAAAGTGCCCCCCTCCTTGTTCCAAGCACTTTTCACACCTGTTGCTCAAAGAATTAAAGACATTTTCTAAGATGCTCGGGGTATTGTAAATTTCACGAATCTTGTCTATAAGTCGAGCCTGCAGATGGTTTAAATCAGGAATAGGCAGTTCAAAAATAGTGTTTTTAAGGTAAGGCCACAAAAAGAAATCACACGGCGTAATATCACATGACCTCGGTGGAAATTCATGTTCAGCATTGAGACTTATTAGTCGATTTTGGAAAACTTCCCTCAACATATTCATCGTCTCGCCTGCCGTATGTGCCCTTGCGCCATCTTGTTGAAAGTAAAAGTTTGTAATTTCGTTTTCTTCCAGCTGGTTAACAAAAGGAGCGATAATTTCTTCTCTATACCTTTGCGCAGTAAGAGTACCATTAAAAAAAATAGGTCCATAAATCCTCCTTCGATTGAGAGCACACCAAACTCCAATTTTTTGAGCGCGTAGAGGGCCCTCGACAAAAAAGTTATCTGGTTTTTCAGAAGACCACATTCTCATATTCTGTGAGTTTACGTAACCACTTAAATGAAACCAGGCTTCATCAGAAAAAAAGGTGATATTATGAAGTTCACCGTAGTTGATTAAAAACCATTCACAAAATACAGCCCGTCGCGGAAAATCAACTTCATGAAGTTCTTGCTGACAAGTTAAACGATAGGAGAACAAACGCAAATCTTTTTTAACACTGTGTGGCAGGTACCGACTGATACTCCTACCATTTGTGATAATACACGTACAGAAGTTCTTGGCGCATTTTCCATTATTTGTTGGACATTTTCTTTTAATTCTTCAGTCCGCTTTTTAGGTCGGCCGCTTCCTTCTTTCCTTGTTACACTGTCCGTTTCACGAAAAACATTAACACAACGCTGAACTGCACTTAAAAATTTTGCACTCAACAACGCCGGGAAATTGATTTTGAAATTCTATGAAACATTCCTCAATAGAATACTTCCATATTCCATCAATCTTGCATCCATTTCTAAAGTAGGACTCTATGATAAACACTTTTTGTACTTGAGAAAACACCATTTTAAACGCTTTTTAAAACGAAAATATTCAATTTGATAGCGGCGATAAAGCGCTTTGACAGATGACGTTTAAGTTCATTTTTTGCTATACGCTACGCCCTACGTCCAAATTTTCAGAACCAACTTGACCACGTTTTTATTTGAACGCTCGTTACCTATTTTTTCGGAGTTTTTTACTTATATCTTGGAACATATTCATTTTGGAAGAATATTGAATAGGAAAAATCGGTTTAGAATTGAATTTTGCACAATATACTGTAAGTTAAAAATGTTTAAATTTATTACCGATGTTGCAAAATAGCAATAATTGATGAAAAAGATAATCAAGTTTTTTTGGATAATTTTTTTAAAATATTTTAATTGTCCCAGGGCATTGTAATTTTGGTAAAAAAAAACTTTAGAGTAACAAAACAACTCACCAAATTTCATTAAAATCTGTTCGATAGTTTTCGCAAAATAATTTTCTGATAAAAATTAAAAATAAAATTTTTCGAATTTTCAAAATGTTGCACAGCCTCAAATAAAGCCTCTAGATCAGGGGTCGGCAAGTAATTTTAGGTGAGGTCCGGATACTTTTGAAAATTTTTAACGAGGTCCAGAAAAAAATTCATATTTCTTATTTTTTTATTTTAATTTGGACTCAAATTTAATCTGCTTACTAACCATTAAGAACTCAAAACACTCACACAATTGTAAAATACTAGAAAAAATGATAACATTGGCACTTAAACGTAAAATACATTTTTTAAATAATTTATTTGAGTAATTTATACTTTCAAACAATTTTTGGCGGTCCAGTATTTTACCTTCCGCGGTCCGGACCTGGACCGCGGTCCGCCAGTTGCCGACCCTTGCTCTAGATACTTAAAAAATTTTTCACATAGAAAAGACCGCTCAACCTCTCAAATGGTTTTTAAAAAATTGAAATCGGTTGATTAGGACGGCTACAGTAAATTTTTAAAGTTAACACTCTTTTTTTATTCTTAAACAATTAGATTACATTTATCAATTTCCAATTTAGTTTTTTTCAAAAATTATAATTTTAAAGTACTCGGAAAGACGCTTCTTTTTTTTAAAAAAAGTTAAATTCCCTTTATTGGTTCTCGAGATTTAAGCGATTCAAAGTTTATCGTTAATTTATAAACAATTTAGCAATAATGATCCAGTGGCTTTGTTTTTCCGAGTTCTAAGCTGTAAAAAAATATTTTTTATCCATAAGTTATCGGCAACATAGATAAATCAGCGGAAAAGCTGTCGCTCGCACGCGCCAAAAAATTCACAAAACACGAAAAGTGGGGGAGGGGGCTTTCGCTCCGAGACTGAATTCGGAGGTTCAAAATGCGAAGGTACGAAAAAAATTCCATTATCTCGGCTTCTAATGGACCAATTTTGATCTTTTTTTTTTTAATCCGAAGTCTCGCGAGCCAAGGAATTCGAATATCGTAACGCCAACTGTCTAATTTGCACATATTTTGTTATTAAAAAAGTTTATTATTTATGCATTAAATATACTGTATATTTTACCCTATGCTATTGCATTTTTTTTCAATGAAAAAATTTGTTTACGTATATATTTTTTGGTAAGGTTTTTTACTATTCGGGCTTCAATTTCTAATGTACAATTTTATTTTCTAAAAGTAATGTACTCTTGTTAGAACTTCCTAATGTGGACGGTTTTCGGGAAAATAGACTTTAATTAAACTCTTACAATATTACGGTGTATAAAGTGATTTTTCTCAAAGTAGGCTTATGTCAAAACTTATTGATGGATATCTTATAAACATCGCATACATTCTTAGTTAAACTCTAATTAACCTTGTATCAAAATTTTGGTGATTGTTAATGACTGTAGTTAGAATGACAGTCACTAAAATTTTGAAACAAAGTTAATTAAAGGTTAAAATATTACTAAGAATGTATGCATGCGTGTTTATGAGATATCCATCAATAAGTTTTGACATAAGCCTACTTTGCGAAGTCACTTATTTTATACACTGCAATATTGTAATAGTTCAATTAAAAGCCATTTTTCTCGAAAACCGTCCACATTAGGAAGTTCTAACAAGAGGACATTATTTTTAGAAAATAAAATTTTACATTAGAGATTGGAGCCCGAATGGTAAAAAACATAAAATTAAAAAAATTAAAACACTTAAAATGTAATAAGAATGTAGCATAACTAGCGCCCTCTATGAAATATCCAAAAAATAATTAGACCAGCGTATTTGGCATCCTTAAAAACCCCGGAATATAAAATATCATAAAAATATTTCGCACCTTTTGGAAATTTTTGTAAAAATTCTATTTAAGAAATTTTATTTTGTCGCTCTGCATCTGGAAAACAAAAGGAGAGACATATAGTTCATAGGACAAAAAATTCTTACTTTTTGTCGTACTATCACTTCTGTATTTATGGGAGGTCTTTCTGAAATACAATGTATATTAAATCCGCTAATTCTTGATTTGAATAAGGCATTTTAAAAACAAATAATGTAAATCAATTACAATCGACGAGAGCAAGCAAGACACGTCTGAGACAGCGCCGTGCAATTAACCACCCTGAACTTGACCTAGCTACTGCATTGTAAACAGTTGATCAGTTGATTAAGTGCGACGACGCAGTGTCGGCCAAAAGTTCGCGTAATAATCTTTGACTAATCTTCTGCATGACACTTTAAAACAAAGATTGCGTGACAAAAATTGTTTGGTTTCACGTTATTTCAGAAACGGCTTGAATAAGTTTTTGTAGTAAAATTGAACGTTGATTGACTGATATATAAAACACAGTAGTAATTTAGCGAATTCTTGATGGTTCTCCACTCACCATGGGTAATCCGTGTTGGGCCTGTGTCCCGCGTCCATTCCGGTCTCGATGATCTTCTTAGGTCCCCCCATTTCCAAACCTTGCCTCTGCCACCAGGCGCAATTAACGAGCGTCCCCGTGGACGCGTTGATGGCCAGAACCCGCGCTGAAAGAACCATTTTGTCCGAGACCAGGAGGTTCTTTGAGATCGCGTCCTGCAGTCCTGAAAAGAAAAAGAGGATGAGAAACATGTTATTGCTCACTATACGGGGTGCACAAAATAAATCAAACTTGCCTGAAACTATACTAGAATGCATTTCTTAAAAATATTGAATATGTATTTACTTTTTCCCTTTTTTCCGCTTTGATATAAAAAGCAATATAAAGTTAATCGATATAATTTGTATAATTTTTTTTAATAAGCGGGAATAACTGAACATATTGGAAATTAGATTTTTTATAGTGTTGCTTAATATTCATACGTCAATTTTAAATGTATATATGTATAATACTCTATGTACGAATACAAAATTTTTGAATGTCTTATGACTCAGTCATAAGATCATTAATTTTAAGGGAAGAAAGAAAAAATGAGTACACTACGAATACGCGATTGAAATAATTTTAAAATGTATATTTATGCTGAAAAAAATATTTTCAAATCATTTTGTATCAAAAAATTTAAATTGCAATTGTGCCAAAACTAATGGTCCGATAGCGCCTACTTTTTGCACACTTAAAGTACATATAATTCACTACTTCAGGGTCAGCTCTACAACTTAAAAAAATGGTGGGGTAATGAATTTTTTAAAACACGTTAAATATTCCTGTTTTTTCGGGTTTTCTTCGTTTCTAATTATCCGATCCGATCGATCGACCTCTCGTTTTATCCGTATTTCGATTCTCTACAAATTATCTCTTTATAGCATTCAGATTGCTTCCTTTGTTTAGGTTTTATAAGCAAAAAACTTAAAAAAATGCGATTTTTGCATAAAAATGTTATAAAAAATTAATTAATGGTAAATTGGAGTAAGAAACATATAAGCATATATCTACAGACTATCTTTTATATGATTGCACAGTCCATTTGCTACTTTGTCACAAAATCACTGATTTAAAGCTCTTTTGATTGGCCTAGTAAGCCTTAAAATTTCCTAGGAGGCCGATTTAAACGAGTTTAAATTTTAACCCAACTTTCTAATCGTCATTACATTTGAGGACAGAACGTAACCACGGGAAAATGCACTTACACCATCGCGTGTATCGTCGCAAACGAACAGAGAAAACACATCAATCACGTCGAGCATGGCCCTTAAACCGTCTGTATATCTGAAAGTTATCGATCCCCCTTTTGAAGCAAGCATAACTTCGACATGTTACGCCACAAGTGCATGGCATGGCTCTGGAACCTCACCGTGTCGGTATTCGCTCCTTCTCAACCCTTTTAGTATTTTTTCGAGAGATTTACGGCTTCAGCAGAGGGAAAGACACCTGGTTTTGACATATTTATCAAATGTTTGGGGCTGCGGTATGATTTGAAATATTCCAGAAGAAAATACCATAATAGGCATTTTATACAGAGCACTTTTGTTACAGGAAAGTGGAATAAGGGCTGTAAATACAGGGTGAGCCGGGAGGAACGCACCAAACTCCAGGAATGAATTTTACATGAAAAATGTTGTCCGATTTTCATTTGTTTTCAAGTTATAAGGTAATTACAAATCATAAAAATTTGAAATCGGAGTATGTCATATTCCATGTTCAAAAGTAAAACAGGATATTTGTCAGTGTCATTTTTTTATGTTGCAATAATTTAACAATTGATTACACGTTTGTACGATCAAAGTGTTACAAAGTATTTGTTTATGGTTTTGCAATGGGAATGCTAATGCTGCTGTTAAAGGATATCGTCAAAGGTTTCCACATCACATGTCCTGATAAAAATGTATTTATCAGAGTTTTCAATACACTATGCGAAATCAGAAGGCTTCCCAGTGCTACTACATCATCTGAACAATCTCATCGACAAGTTTTAGAAGAAGTATAAAATATTCTGGGTTTAGTGGAAGATGATGCTGCTCACGAATAATTGCTACTCAATTGGGGATTCCAAGAAAAAATAGTAATAAAAAACCTCCACGAGTGAGGCTTATATCTGTACCATGTACAAAGAGTACAACTCCTGTAACTGGGAGATTATGCTAAGCCAATCGAGTTTTGTCGATGGATCAATAATAATCATCTTGTTGTATCCCGCAAACTTTTTACGGATGCAGCAACGTTCACACGTGACGGCATAACTAATACCCGCAACTCTCATGTATGGTCAGACGAAAATGAATTACAAATACTTCTAGAGGATGTTCCTATCAACATGACAATGCGAATGTACTATCAGCAAGATTGAGTTCCTGCACATTTCGCTCGTTCAGTCAAGCTACATTTGAATGAGAGGCTTCAAGAGCATTGGAGACGCGTGGCAGTGGTCCTATTAGTTGGCCTCCAACATCTCCAGACATCATAGCACTAGATTGCTGTTTATGGGGCTGGTTGAAAAATGAAGTGTACAAAGTTAGAGTGAACACTCGGGAGACACTAATTCGACGCATCAATATTGCAGCACTTATTAAAGAAAGACGTGTAGCAATCAGGAGGGCTGCAGATGCCTTTCGTAGACAAGGCAGAAAGCGTTTAGAGGTCAATGGTGGTGTTTTTGAGCATTTAATCAAAGAACGCTATGATTAATAGAATATGAATAAATTATTTCGTTTATGGTAATGTACGTCATAACTTGAAAACAAATGAAAATCGCATACATGAATTTTTTCTTATTTTCGCGTGTAGAATTCATTCTTGGAGTTTGATGCGATACTACCGACTCACCCTGTATAACGAATAAATATATATTTTGTATGTTTGAGCCTTTGAAGTAAAGTAAGTAATGCTTTGAATCATTAGAGGTACTTATATATTCAATCAAAGTGATTCAAATTGGAATAAACAGTATGTAGTCTCTTGCTAACGAGAATTTTACATCAAAATTCCCTTTTGATAAATGGTTTTAAGAGAAAACGGATGATAATAGTTATTTACGGACCAAGGAAGTTATAATAAAGTTAATTAGTGAGGGCAACAGGCTTTAGCCCAAGGGATAACAAGTTGCTCAAAGTTATTAACATCAAATGACTGCTGTGATGCATGGATAATTTTATTTCTTAATAAAGAGATATACAGGGTATGGCGTGTGGCGTGTATAATCTATAAAAAAATTAACTACAGCTTCCTGATGATATTTGTAATAGAAAAGTCTTATACGAAAAAGTTCTATCTTCGCTTTTTTTTGTAAATTAAAGTTCATTTATTTAACGAAAATGAAGGCCGATTCTGTGTTATTTATTAAAAACTTTGGAAATGTTTTTATGCGACCCGAGATGCAACCTTATAATTTAAGTCGGTATAATCTAATACTAGTAATACTAAAAGAAGGTTAGGTTACATTGTCAAAAAATTTGTGCAGTCAACTGATTTTGTATTTGTATTGAATTCATTATTCACTTAATTATTAAATATTAAGCATCGTCCATCGACCCATCAGTGTTAAAAAGTGAAAGATTCCAGACAAAAGTTTTTATTTTGTAATTCCACGATAGTGACAGTGTAATTTTTATAAAGAAGTAAAAAATAAGAATAGCGTGCCGATTACATTAAAAACGAGATTCTTATTTCTTACTTTGCTTAATTTTTTAGTTTGTGCACAAACTAGTTTTACAATGAACCGAGAAAACAATGCATTTACTATTTCCGAACGTGTCGATATGGTGTTAGTGTATGGTGCAGCCGGAGAAAATGCGCTCGCGGCGACTAGGTTGTACCGGGAACGATGGCCACAACGTCACCCCCCATGTGCAAATACAATCCTACAGTGCGTTCAGCGGCTGCGAGATACGGGAAGTGTTATTCCTCGAGGAGAAGGACGTGGTCAGCAAGTGAACCTTAATGTTGAAGATGCAGTGTTGGAAAATCTTGACGAAGACCCCACAATTAGTACTCGACGACTCGCACAGCAAGTAGGAACCTCATCTCGTACCGTACATCGCATCTTAAGGCGCCAGCTGTTGCACCCCTATCATCTGCAACCAGTTCAACAGATTTTACCCCCGGATTGTGATCAACGAATGCGTTTTTGCAGATGGTTTTTACGGCAATGTGCCAATCAAGTAGACTTTCCTGCTTATGTTTGTGTAACAGATGAGGCGACATTTACCCGTGATGAAGTGAATTTCCATAATATGCACATATGGGCCGATGAAAATCCTCACGCGATTAGGGAAACTCATTTTCAACATCGGTTCTCGGTAAATGTTTGGGCTGGCATAATAGGCGATGTACTTGTGGGTCCCTATTTCTTTGAAGGACGACTAAATGGACCAACATATGCTGACTTTTTGGAGAACCGGTTGCCTGAATTATTGGACGATGTGGCATTACAAGTTCGGGCACGCATGTTTTATCTTCAAGATGGGGCTCCTCCACACAGTACTCGAGAAGTAACGACACTTTTGAATGAAATGTTTCCTCAGCGATGGATTGGACGCTTTGGTCCTGTGCCGTGGCCACCTCGGTCACCCGATCTAACTCCAATGGACTTTTATCTTTGGAGTCACTTGAAGTCATTGGTTTACAATACTCCAATTGCTACGGTGGAAGAATTGCGAAACCGTATACTTGAAGCTGCTGACACAATTAGGGGAATACCTGGAATTTGGGAAAATATTCGCCAAAATTGGGTGCGTCGGTGCCATGCCTGTATCCGCGCTAATGGGGATCAATTTCAACATTTTCTCTAGAAATGGTAAGTTTTATTTCATTTTGTTCCATATTTTAATGGAGTTTGTTTAGTGCACGCAGTTGGCAACTACAGATGCTTACGGATGTGGTTTTGTTTGCGAACTCTTGCAGTAACAACAATGCATTTAAGATAGTAATTACTATTAATTATTATAATAAGAAAATATCAGTTTTTTTTAAATATCTATTTTTCTTAGTTTGTACTTTTGCATTGAAAAATTCCCCAAAAATTGAGAAGTATCTTTCTATCTTTCAACGACGATTTGTTTACGCGGCTGGTCTACAGCACGTAACTCATCGTACAGCACACGGACAGGACCGTTCCAGAGAAAATATTTTGATCCATAATTGAACTTTAATTTACGAAAAAAAAAA